AAAAAAAAAAAAAAAAAAAAAAAAAAGAATATAGAAGACTTGAACACCCCCATCGACAAACATGACCTAACTGGCATTATAGATTTTCACCAAACAACTGCCAGAAGATACATTCTTCTCAAGTGCACATGGAACATTTATGAAGCTGTATCATTTGTGGGCCAAAAAGCAAGTTTTGGACAATTTAAAAGGAATCAAACCGTAAGAACTATTTCCTAACCACAATGGAATTAAGTTAGAAATCAGTAACAAAGATCTTGGAAATTCCCAAATATTTGGATACCAAGTAACACACATTTAAAATAACCTGTGGATCAAAGACAATGCCAAATGGAAAATCATGAAGTGTCTTGAACTGAATGAAAATGAAGACACAACGTATCAAAATTTGTTGGAATGCAGCAAAAGCAATGCTTAGAGGGAAATTTATAGCACTAAAATACCTCTATTAGGGAAGGTCTCTCAATATCTTGTAATAACCTAAATGGAAAAGAATCTAAAAAAGATATATGTTTAAATATATAAAATGAATCACTCTGATGTATGTCTGAAACTAGTGCATTGTAAATTAACTGTACTTCAATTTTTAAATGGTTAAAAAAAAAAGGTCTCAAGTCAGTGATGCCAGCTCACACTTTAAACTAAGAAGAAGAAAAAAAGAAGAGCAAACTAAGTGGAAAAAAGCAGAAGAAAGAAATAATGAGTAGAAATCAGTGAAATAAAAAGCAGAAAAAAAGAGAAAATCTGATGAAAACAAAATCTGATTACTGGAGAAAATAAAGCTGATAAATCTCTAGCCTAACTCATCAGGATAAAAAGAGAAAGACCTTAAGTTAACAATATTAGGAATGAGAGAGGCTATCACTATAGATCTCATGTATATTGAAATAATAAGAGCATGTCATAAACAACTTTATGCTGACAAATTCAACAACTTAGATAAAACGGACACATTCCTTAGAAGACAAAGAACACCAAAACTCACTCAAGAATAGCCCTAAATCTATTTTTAATGTTGAATTTGTATCGTGAAAAGGAAATTCCAGGCTCAGGTTGGTTTTCCTGGGGAATTCTACCTAATATTTATGAAAGAAACAGTGAACATGACACAAATTTCTTCAGAAAATTCAAGAGGGAACAACGTCCAACTCAATTCTCTCAGGCCAGCATGACCTGTATACTAAAACAAGAAAGACATTCCAAAATTACAGACCAACTGAAAGGAATTTAATCAAGTAACAAATTTATGTTGAATAGAATTTGGAAAAAGGCCTGAAGTGAAAAGATGTCAGTTCTGGTGAAAAACAGTAAGGAGCAGAGGCATAGACCTGGTATTGGAAATTGAATGTTTTGTTTGAAACAGGATAAATGGTGCTGGTAAGATATCCAGTGATGTAATAGCTAATAATCAGTGCGTTCTTTGTGTCAGGTGCTACACTAATCAGAAGGACTGGAGCTCAGTAGAAGGAAAAACAGTACTAGAAGTCATGCCTGTATAACTGATTCCATTTACCACCTCTGATTTTCATACTGTGGCTATTACTACATTAAACAGAGTGGCATACTTTTTTTTTTTTTTTTTTTTTTTTTCGCGGTACGCGGGCCTCTCACTGTTGTGGCCTCTCCCGTTGCGGAGCACAGGCTCCGGACGCGCAGGCTCAGCGGCCACGGCTCACGGGCCCAGCTGCTCCGCGGCATGTGGGATCTTCCCGGACCGGGGCACGAACCCGCGTCCCCTGCATCGGCAGGCGGACTCTCAACCACTGCGCCACCAGGGAAGCCCCAGAGTGACATACTTTTTAAGAGACTTCAGTGAATCTTATTTTTCCCAAGGTAAGAAAATCATCATTATAAAAACAATGTACTCTATACTCCTTAATTACTATTTAGAAATCATTCATAACAAAAATAATACAACATAAGAGACATTTTGTCTGGAAGTCTACTGTCAAATGTGGCTGCTACTCCAATCTGGCATTCCTTTAGGAAGTCCTGTGGAGGTCACACCTGGAGAAGTTCAAACTCACTATTGGCAAGGATCTCTCCTCTCTCACCCCCAACTCATCCTCACCCCATGTAGTTCAACACATCTGGAAACCAAAATGGCTCATGGTTTAACCACAGAAGGCAGCTAAAACAGAGGGCCTACACAGAGAAATCAGTGACAGCCTCACCATCTCTGTCTGCACCAGCTAAACCACCAGGTCATACAGGGTTCTGAATTTACATATCTGATAGCCAATGTTTTTTTTTTTTTAAAGAGACACTTCAAATAGGCTGTCTCACTTAAATGACCACCCCAAGTACACGGCTCATTTACCAAATGGAGAGTTATACTTTTGATATACTGGAGAAGGCGTTCCACTTGCTGTTAAAAGACAAGTGGTGGCAATTTTCATTGTGCAAATACCATAGTAAGAAGTTGATTCTGAAAACAAAAGGGAGATTCAGAGAGCTGCTATCACTTACTGGAACACTACAAAATGCTGGAGATGCAAAGCTCTGACTAGAGTTATTGCCACACAACATGAAGTACACCCAATGATCAAAAACCTCTATTTTGGTGGTAATTCTGAACCCTAAAGAGGCTGTTACCAAACCTTTCAGTTATAAAAATAAGCTGTAAATATGCAAATACGTGTCTTAGAATTCGGTGAAATTACTACTCAACAGTGGAAGGATTTTAAGATTTTCATTTTATTAAAAATATAGCAACACAATAGCAGCAGCATCTGATAAACGTTTACTAGTACCATATGGAAGTAGTCCTACTCACATGATGTACGCCACCTATGCAGCACCTTTTCGTTTACATTTTGAACCCTTCCCTTGATAATCCATAGCATTATGTAAAGAATAGCACTGCTGTATTAACCTAATTAAGATGAAGGAGAGTAATATTTAACTATTAAATTGAACTACCTATACAACTACACAGTACACCCAAATGTAACCTTCTGTGGAAATCAGAGAATTCTGTAGCGTGTTTCCTAACAGTTTTTTGCCTACCACTAACCTTAAACTGGTGGAACTCAATCTCTTCAACTCTAATTCAGCATGAATTTCATGAGTTTGAATTTACATATACAGTTAAGAAATTATCTATCTAGCAAACAAAAGTTAATCAAGAATGGAGAGAACTATTATTCTACTCCAATCCTTGGAAAATAAATCTTAATGGTAAAATTTGTGAAGTTTTACGAAAGTTGGCAATTCTCAAAATTAAAATGTTAGCTAGATACAAAGTAAATTTAAAATCAGGCAACAGGCTAAAAATCTGCTTTTAAGAACAGTATGTTAAGAAATGTATTATATATAAACAATTATAATTAATTGCTAGAAACTATAAAAGTACCTTAAATGGAATAGAAAGAAATCTAGTTATTAGTTACTAAATCCAACCTACCTTCAGCTTTAGCTTTTATTTTTAAAATCATGTACCACTCTTTGGCAGCATCACCAATAAAAGTGTATTTAAGAAAAACAAATTCACCCACAAACCCAAGTTTAAGTAGGGAAGTGAATTTTATTTTAAAAGATTATTTTATTACATTTATACTCGACTCCTGCTTCCAGAAATATCATTTAGCCCTTTGAGAGCACTAACTTCTGAAATCTGAAAATAAACAATTTAATTTTAAATGACTATTACATTAGTAAATAAACATGAGAACATCTAAGTATATAGGCAGTGAATTTTTTTAAAAAAATATTTAAAACACATAAGGAACATAATTACTTTGTGGAAACAGCTCTACTTCATAACTTACCCAGTTAAAACCAGATACTATCTTCCAATGAAAATATAAGAAATGTCCCACTGAAATGTTACTTAATGCATCCCTCAAAAAGAATTCATTTTAACTGCTAATTCAACTACTAAAGATTTAAACCAAATCATACTATTCCAAATAGGTTTTAAAAAAACTTTTAAAAGCCATTAGTATATATTATAATCCTTAAATTTGAATAATATCTTCAGTTGAGACCAGATTTGGCTCAAGGTTTTTTTTTTTTTTTTTTAATTTCAAAGGTAGCAACCTATATATAGGAATGAATGAGCATCCTAAAAATGACTAATACCACAAAAGAAATTATTTTCTTGAAAAAAAAAAAAAAATTGATTCTAAATGCCGGTTTTTACTTTTAATTGAGGCATGTCAAAATTTAAGTCTCTATGATACTTCTAAAGATCAACACAGCATATACTGAACCCCTTGGAAAAAAAGATTCTAAACAGAAAAATCACAAGCTGACTAGTGTGTTCGTAACTATAAGTTAATTAGATTCAATGGAAAATAATAATGAGATAGCTGTGGAAGTTGAGGGTTTTATACTTGTTTCCTCACATGAAACTGGCTAGCTTATGAAGGACCATCTTTTATTACCAGTTAAGTGCACAATGCTGAAAAGCAAGAACAAGAGGACCAAGAGAATTTGTCTAGAATGATGAATAGCAACTACAATTTAAGGAACAGAATGTACTCGCTATATAATCAAGATGAAAAAGAAAATTTACAGAAGGTATTAAGTGTAAAATGGCTGTCTTCTTGGCCTTACCTCAAGTTTTCCTGACAATATCTACCTGGGATGAAAAAGACAGTTTTAAAGAAATAAAAAAATACCTTACAAGAAAAAAATAAAAGAAAACATATCAGCTCTTAAAAGTGAACAAAGAGAAAAAGATGTCTCTCTCTGTCTTACACACAACACACACACACACTCACACACTCCCTCCTTCCCTCCAGTACCTCTAGACCCTAGAAAGCTTTGCTTCCATAAGCCTGTTTAAGAAAATGATTTCACTTTCTCCGGACCTCTTGTATTCCTATTCATGCCCAATTTTTATAAATCAGTGTCTGTTAAGATTAGTATGACTGTTTTAAAGATGAATAAACCTCATCAAGAAAAATAACTGGCAGCAGGAACCAAATAACTATGTTATTTACCAACATAAAAAACATTTAATAGAGTCCAGAGTACAAGAAAATACTCAAACTTTAAATGATGGCTTTACACACCACATAAACATGCACTCTCCATATCAAAACAATTTATATGCCAGCTAAAACAAGAACAGGACAAACCTAAGATGCTGTTTTGAAATGCATGAACAAATACTTTCCTCTAAAATACTTAGCTTTATTAGAGAAATAGTACTAAAAATAACAAAGATTCAAACAACATTTGCTCTATTCTACTTACATATCATAAATAAGAAGCTTTGATGCAAGACACACACACTCCTTCACAATCTTTCCATATACACCCAAGCATTCTTATATCAAAATAAGCTGTTTACCAGCCAACCGTATGTGGTTGAATGATTAAAATGACCATCTATACTTTACATAGTAAAGCATTTTGAAAAATTTTAATGTACACAGTGAAAAAAAGGAAAAAAAAACACAGTAATTCTGAACACATGAGGAGTAATTAAGCAGCTTCATAATCAAACCAGGCTTCATTACTTGCAACGAGGGCAATTCTTTCCATTCTTCACCAAATACTTAAATTTCAATAGTATTAACATTAAAAGAAAACTCAAGTTGAAACCAAGTAACTGATGTGCTACTCAGCTTTTTAAATCTATAAGTAACTCTTCCCATGAGGTAAGGCAACTGAGTAATTTGATTGTATTAGACTGCATTAAACTAATTATACTTGATTTTTTTAATAACATGCTAATTAAAAGGTATAACTTTTGGAAATACAACAATGAAAAGAGTTCTGAAACTATGAGTTGTGTTCTGGGGGAAAATATTAGCAATGTTGTCATTTTACTACTTGCATACTTTCTGCAAAAAGTGTGCCTAACAATGTCGGATGACCTATATTTTAAGCTTAAGTAAACATATCCTTACACATAAGACAAACTCATATGTTCTCCTTTAAGTACAATTTCTGCACATCATTTATGAGAAGATGATTGAGAGGTAATAATTAAGGCCATCCAATGTACACAACTAAAGCATTCTGCTTTAAGTAAAATAAGAACATGCTGCTTCATTTTCAATTATCACAGTATGAAACTGATGGTCCCAAAACTGCATTGCTGTTTTAAGCTCTAAAGTCATTCTTGAAAACAGACTTCCCTCTCATATTAAGTGAACCAAGTAAGAAGCTCTTCTGACATACCACTTTCACACTTCTCTATGGGAGGGAATGGAATATCCATCTAAATTCCATATGAATTGAGAATGACTAGTCCATATAAAATTCTAGAAAACAGTATACCACATTGTAGAAGGCACTAAAGCTTCAGCTTGTGCTCCCATAGCCCATTTTGAAAACCCAGTTTTCTTATTATAAATGGCATCTTTGCCACCTACAACTGACAACACACACTGTGATACTGTTCATAATAAGCTTGGAAATGTCAAAAGAGTTCAAAAAGAAATGGTTATTTTGTGGGAAGACCCAATGATTCTGAACACTGAATACTAATATATTATTAGTATTCAACAGTTGTTCTTCCTTTTGAAAAAGAACAGTAGCATGCATTGTCAGCTGGTTTTTAATCCACTCATGTAAGCAACTTTAATCTGTAAAACTATTTTAAAGAAAAACTGCTGTCCTAAACAGTGAGCAAAAGAAAACACAATAGTGAGAATTTAACACAATCACTGTAAATCCTGTGAAGTCAATGTTAAAACTTCTTACATACTCCGCACTTACAAGGGTGTGTATATATTTGCACCAATTTCAAGCACATCATCAATCTGTAATATATTGAAATTAAAAAAAAAAGTAAAACAATACAAAATCAGTTACTAGCATTTTTTAAAAGAGCCTCCAATGCTTATCTCCAGTCTTTAATGGATAGTACAAATTTAGATCTTTAATGTCCCATTTATTTTAATGGTTCTTCGCAAACACTTAACTAACCACATGACAAGTGTGTCAGCCACCATGGAAATGCACAGCTTTTAGAAGATGAGGAGTTTGGGTAACACCTGTTATTTTCACGACATCCATGCTTTATTTTCTTACTCAGTAACAAGATGGCCACAAAGTCACCTAACAACTAAAAAAGCTGTTAGCTCATATCTTTATGCTCTACTGGATTTCTTCACTGTTTAACATCTTGTTGAGAGAATTCAAAGCTTTGGATTCTATTCCAGCGTGTGTTTAGAGGTGCATTTGTAGGTCCTATACTGCTTCTGTTTTGGTAGAGAGGTTTTCTTCATTTGGTTGACAATTCCCATTTTGCTGTACTTTGTTTTCCTCAGTCCTTTGTGCATCCTTGTCATCTACTTCTTTTCCCACACTTGAATCTGGTTCTTTATTGTGCTCCTTCTCCTACAATGAATATTTAGGTATACATTTAATATTTTTCTCAAGAGTTGTCTGCTACTACATCTAGTTCTGGCTAAAACTTTATCTTTTGTGAATTAGTCAAACTGGGTATTATCTCTCATTACATCTTCATATAAATAGTATATACAAATGTATCAATATGTCCTTTGTACTTCTAATAAAAGATAGGACAATCTATGGAGATTAAGTTAGAACAAAATAGGTAAATAGAAACTCTAGGAAAGAATTCAACAAACGTTGCTGACTGACTTGAAAGGTGGAACTGATCGGCTGAAAGTAAAACAGTTCCCATAGATGCCAGGACAGATTTGTAATCTGGATACCAAAGAAGCAAAAACAAGGGAATGTAGAAAAGGAAATCACTATTCCTCCTACCAAAGACTGTTTAAGAACAGTCCAAATTCAGCTCTCAACTTAACGGAGAATTAAATGAGAACATGTGGAACAGAGCCTGGAATGTATTAAGTGCTCAGGAGATATTATCAATGTTACTTACAATGATGATAAACCTCTATCAGTATGGGAATAAATAAGACTGTAAAATAAAAGCTTCAGAACTCATAATTGATCTCCAAACACAAATATACTTACCAGTATAATAAGGGAATTAACCTAATTCACAAGTACTTAAAATATTTTATCAAAAAAAAAAAGGAGGAAAACAAAACAAAAACCCTTACCTGGTGGAATTTGGTTTTCCATTAATTATTCTAATTCAACAAACCTAACTTTGGTATATATTACAAAACCAATGATAACATCACCTGTCAAATTTGCTAAAACAAATATAGTGAGGAAAATGGCAACAAGTAAAAATATTCCAGTACATAGTTAAAATTTATTGTATGCCATTCTGTGATTCTCTAAAATAAGGAATGCAATTGTTTACACTAGTAAACATTACATTAATTAGTTCTTATCTTCAAAAATTAGGTTAAAAAACTACCGATTTAACAAATAGCACCAAAAACATACAAGGCACTGGTAGTATAAAATTACCTCTATGCAATAAAGAAGAACAATCTCAAACATTAATTATTCAAACCCTAAACACTGAACGACTTTCTTACTTTAAGTGAAGTATTGTTCTTCTCCACCTTTTCCTTCCCATCTCTGTCATTACAACTCTTTCTTGTAGAGGCTGAACGTTCTCTCTCTCTTCTTTCACTGATGTGGTCCCTTTCTTTTTCTCTCTTTTTATCCTTCTTATTTCTGCTATAAGAATATTAATAATATGTCATTAACTTCTAAAGAAGTAAACACCCACTATAATGTTGACAAAATATTCTTACCTAACATTAATGCACTGTAAACAAGCGTATCAGTAACCTGGTGGACCAAATAACATAAATGAGTCCTGTAGCCCACCTAACTCCACCCCACACCCAGTTAATTTTTTAGACACACAAGTCATTACCGCAGAGGCCACCAAGTGTTCATATAAAACACAATTCTGTATTATCAATTTCTTAGTTTTGAAACATTCAAGGTTTATTTATCTACTGTAATCAGGATAAAACAAAACAAAATATATATTTTTTTACCCATCTTTTCAAAGTAAAAAATGAATAAGCAGAAAAGAATAAAAATGATAAAGAATCAGATATGGCTCTCAGGTAAGGCTGAATGACTTCTAGGAAAACATGGAACTTCAAATAACCAATTATGCCATGTGCCCTCCCCTCTCATTCACAATTACAAAAAAGGCCCATCCACCAATTCAATAGCAAACATTAAGCAGAAGATGGAATGAACAAGTTCCATTTGTAAAAATTACATATCCTTAAAATTAGAGGGAAAAAAACGATGCATTTCCTATCAGAAGCATAACAGACACCTATTCAAAATAATTAGCCTTAATATGGAATTCTAAACCTTTTTGTCTTAATTATGAATATTTTAAAAATAAACACAAAGACCAGGGGAACAAATAAAAACACTTAGGAAACAGACCCAAGTACCTATGAAAATTCAATAAAACAAAGGGATGGCATCTCAAATCACTGGGGCAAAGTTCGTCTTTTATAAATAAAAGACTTGGGGACAACTGGATTATTATTTGGAAACAGACAAAACTGGGTCCATATCTCATTCACATAAATAAATAAATAAATCCAAATGGATTAGAGACCTAAATTTTTTACATGAAACGATACAAGTACTAGAAGAAAACAGGAATAAATTTCTTCCTAATTTGAGTGAAGGGGAAGATTTTTTTAGCCATAAATAAAATTCCAGGTACGATAAAAGATTCATTAGTATGCCTACATAAACTTTTGCAAAGCAAAAAAAAACAAAACAAAAACCACTACTAGCATATTCAAAAGAAAAATACATTTGCTACATTATTTATGTATGTATATCTTTATATACAACTCTTAAAGCCAAGGAAACAACTACATCAAAAAGAATGAGATTCTTGGGAGCTTCCTGGTGGTGCAGTGGTTAAGAATCCACCTGCCAATGCAGGGGACACAGGTTTGAGCCCTGGTCTGAAAAGATCCCACATGCCACGGAGCAACTAAGCCCGTGCACCACAGCTACCGAGCCTGAGCTCTAGAACCCGTGCTCCACAACAGGAGAAGCTGCCGCAATGAAAAGCTCGCACACCACAACAAAGAGCACCCCCTGCTCGCCACAACTAGAGAAAGCCCACGTGCAGCAACGACCCAAAGCAGCCAAAAATAAATAATTTATTTAAAAAAAAAAAAAAGTATGAGATTCTTAGGCATAAATTTAACCAAAAAGGCAAAAAATTTGCTGAAAAGAAATAAAGACATAAATAAATGGAAAAACATCCCATGTTCTTGGATCAGAAGACTTAGAGTTAAGATAACAATAGTATCCAAAGTGATCTACAAATTCAATGCAATCCCTATCTAAATCCCATTGGCACTGCTGGCAGAAAAAGTAAAACCCATCCTAAAAACCACAGGATCTCCAGGGACATCAAATAGCCAAAACAAATCTTTAACAACAAAATTGGAAGACACACAATCCCTGGTTTTAAAACTTACTACAAAACTACAGTAATCAAAACAGTGTAGTACTGGCATAAGGAGAGACTTACAGACCAATGGAAAAGACAGAAATATATGGTCACATGTATGGCCAAAATGATTTTTGATAAGGGTGCCAAGACCCATTCAATAGGGAAAGGACAAGCTTTTCAACAAATGTTGCTAGGAAAACTGGACATCCGCATGCAAAAGAATGAAGTTTTAGACTCTTACCTTACACCATATGTAAAAATTATCTCATAATGGATCAAAGACCTAAATATATAAACTAAAACTGTAAAACCCTTAGAAGAAAACACAGGGGAAAATCTTTATGACACTGGTTTTGGCAATGATTTCTAGGATATGACAGCAAAAAGCAATGAAAGTAAAAAAACAGATAAATTCGAATTCATCAAAATTAAAAAACTTTTGTGCATCAAAGGATACTTACTCAAAGAAAGTGAAAACACAACCCACAGTATAGGAAAAAAATACATGGAAATCATATTATCTGGTAAGGGATTAACAACCAGAATATAAAGAACTAAAACTTAACAAAAAACCAAATTATCTAATTCAAAATCGGCAAAAGACTAGAATAGACATTTCTTCGAAGTAGATACACAAATGGTCAATAACCACATGAAAAGATGCCCAACATCACTAATCATTAGAGAAATGCAAATCAAAACCTTAACAAGATACCATTACACACAGACAATAACAAGTGTCAGTGAGCATGTGGAGAAACTGGAATACTTGTACATTGCCGATGGGAATACAGAATAGTGCAACCACTTCAGAAAACAATTTCGCAGTTTCTCAAGAAGATAAAGAGAGGATTACTATATGATTCAGCAATTACAACTCCTAGGTATAGAAACAAAAACGTGTCCACATCAAAACTTGTACACAAATGTTCATAGCAGCATTATTTATAACAGCAAAAAAATAGAAACAATACTAAATGTCCATCAACTAATGAATGGTTAAACAACAAAACCTGGTTTTATCCATAGTGGAATATTATTCGCCCCTAAAAAGGAATGAAGTACTGATTAATGCTACAATATGCATGAACCTTGAAAATGTTACATTTAGTCAAAGAAGTCAGATACAAAAGACCGCACAGGGACTTCTCTAGTGGCGCAGTGGATAAGACTCCATGCCCCAATGCAGGGGGCCCGGGTTTGATCCCTGGTCAGGGAACTAGATCCCCCATGCATGCTGCAACTAGGATTTCGCATGCTACAACTAAGGAGCTGGTGAGCTGCAACTAAGGAACCCTGGAGCCGCAATTAAGGAGCCCACCTCCTGCAACTAAGACCTAGTGCAACCAAATAAATAAATAAATATTAGGGGAAAAAAAAAGGCCATACATGTTATATGACTCTATATGAAATGTCCATAACAAGCAAATCCACAGAGACAGTAAGTAGATTAGTAGCTGTAAGGAGCCATGGGGAGTAACTGCTAATGGGTACAGGCTTTCTTTCAAAGTGACAAAAAATGTTCTGGAACTAAGTAGCAGCGATGGTTGCACAGAACTGTGAACTCTTGGGCTTCCCTGGTCACGCAGTGGTTGAGAGTCCGCCTGCTGATGCAGGGGACACGGGTTCGTGCCCTGGTTCGGGAGGATCCCACATGCCGCGGAGCAGCTGGGCCTGTGAGCCATGGCCACTGAGCCTGCGTGTCCGGAGCCTGTGCTCCGCAACGGGAGAGGCCCACGTACCGCAAAAAAAACAAACAAAAAAACCCTGTGAACTCTTAAGAAAAATGCAATGAAAACTACTAAAAATCACTGAAATGCACTGAGGGTGAATTTTATTTTACATAAACTACTCCTCAATTTAAAAAATAACTCAGAGGGCGCCTGCCAGCCACTGGTGGGGGACTCTGATGCCTAAGGAGACGGGGGGAACCCCAAAGTGAACCGGTAGGATGTAGGGGGACTGAGGGGGGAGGAGAAAAGGAGGGTAGACAGGATCGGCATCCCTGAGGCCGGGGAGATGAGGAGAGGCAGGGGCGAGGGACCCTCCAGAAAGAGCAGAAGAGGATGGAGGGTGATTGCCTGGCCCACTCGGGCCATGGAGCCTGTGGAGCTCCCAGGCTGGTGCCTCCCCTCCAAAGCCCCCTCCAAGCAGTTTGGGTCCTGGGGGCATAGGAGGGAGGCTGGGAGATCAGGAGAGGCAGCGAGGTGGAGCCCTCCGGAAGCAGCAGATGACTGCCACATCCACTCAGGCCCGGGGAGGCTACTGAGCTCCCAGGCCAATCCTGTCCTCCAAAACCCCCTCCAGGACGCATGGGTCCTTGGGGGCATAGGAGGGAGGCTGGGGACATCAGGAGAGGCAGGCGGGAGGGACCCTCCCAGGCTGGAGGAGCGGGAAAGGAGAGGAGGGTGTTTGCCCTGCCCACTCGAGCCCAGGAAGCCTGCTGGGCTCCCAGGTGAGGTTCCCTGCCCTCTGAGACCAGGGGTGGGGGGCACTCCTGGGCCCCTTCTGTTCCTTGGGCCTAAAAGCCAGCTCCCCACAGCCCCCAGGGCCTCTTCCAGCCCTGGGGGTCCTAAGCATTGGCCCCGTCCACCACCCAAACCTCGCCTTTGCTTAGGCCCCACCCTCCACAGCCAAGACCTCTCTCCCCCGCTTTTTTTTCTTTTTCTTTTCCCTCCTCCTCCTTTTTTACTATTGTGGTACTGATGTACCTTCCAGTTGTTGATTCATCTGTATTTTTATATTCTTCCAAACATATCTGTTAGTTTCCTAGTCTAATTTTATTTTTTACTTTGTTATATTTATTCTTATTTTTTGGGCACCGCAGGCAGCTTGCGGGATCTTGGTCCACGAGCCCGGGGTCAGGCCAAAGCTCCTGTGGTGGGAGCTCCGAGTCCGAACCACTGCACTAACAGAATCTCAGACCCCAGGGAATATTCATCAGTGTGAGGTCTCATGGGGTTCCTCATCTCAGCACCAAGACCCAGCTCTACCCAAAAGCCTAAGAATTCGAGTGTTGGAAGCCTCAGGCCAAACAACCAGTATGACAGGAATACAATCACACTCATAAAAAAAAATGAGACAGCAAAAAAATATGTCACAGATGAAGGAGCAAGGTAAAAACCTACAAGACAAAATAAATGAAGAGGAAATAGGCAATATACCTGAAAAAGAATACAGAGTAATGAGAGTAAAGATGATCCAGAAGCTTGGAAATAGAATG